AAATAATTACTGAATATTGAGGTAAGATCAAAATTTAGGTCCAATTTGTCCTATTATTTGATCTTTCATCAACTTTATGGCAAAGTTATTTCAAAGTTTACATTAAAATGCGTGGCAGGGGGAAGAAGTGCATTAGCAGCATAAAATATTATGTTTTCCACGCATAACAGAAGAGATCATAATAGATCTAACGATGTGTCATATACAACGAACCATTTGTCAAGTTAGTACATTCTCATGTGCACAACTATTTGTATATCTTGTATATTATACACATAGGTGCAAAGTGCATATATATAGTTGCTGCATGTACATAAACTTTTCTTCTAAGCAGAGATATACGGATAATATGATTTGCTTAAGACATGGTCTTTTCACACTTCCCATATATAGATTCATACTTTAACGAGAGTGTCGACACATTTGGAGCATGATCTGTGCACCTCTCTCTCTCTCTCTCCTCTCTTACCACTTACAAGTATAATAATCACTGTTTTAAATCTGTATTTATTAACGACATTCGCCGTGTGTCAAGTATCTGGAGTTTCATTTTATTGATATAATCAATAAACAAGTGCATTATTCATTCCTGTATCATTCATATCATTTGTTATTTATATATATAAAATAACAAAACTCAATGATATAGATACGGATGCATAAATAGTTATACAAACCTTATAAAATAATTTATGATAAAATGTATCTTCGTGTATTTATTTTCTAATTTAGAAATGGGGATGGATTCTTTGTCAAATTTGGAGAAAAAAATCCTTTTGGCGTCTTTTAATTCGTTGCGTATTTTCCGAGTTATGACCATTTAAAGTTATCGCCGATTTACTAATAGCCGAACAGAGAGGGGGAACACTATATACCTTTACTGTTTATTAACGATAATTCTGAACAAAAAATTTATCTCTTCCGATTTTTAATCGGTTGCGTATTATCCAAGTTAATGGAATTAAAAGCCAACGCCGAATTTCTTCCAGCCGAAAAGGGACTCATTCATTAACAGTTCGGCCTTGACATTAAATTGCAATAACTCGGAAAATAATCAACCGATTAAAAAACGGTAAAAGACTTTCTTGTTCAGAATCTCCTAAGGGATGTAATACTACTCTCCAAATATAAAATATGCTAATATAATAAAGATATATTATTATAATACTTATATTATTACAGTTTTTTTAAGGATATCAAGATATCAATTTTATATCCTTCGAAAAACTGTGGTAATGTATTATATTATTTTATTATATTCTATTATATTCTATTTTTTTTAATATTCAAAATGTCGAGATTATTTCTTCCGATTGAGTTACAAAATTCTTTTCCTGTGATTGTGCGACATTATTATTGAAGCTAATAATTGTTATACGACATACACACACAGACACGCACAACGCGACCAATGCAAATGTTTAATGAACCGATATTAATAACAGTGTGTTGCTCAATAAATAATGACGCAATATTGATTTCATTGAACGATTGCCGGTATATATATAGAGCTAATAAATATATTATATATATATGTACATATACATTGTAACCACTATTCAGAAGCAATTACAGGGGCAAGGTCACTATTGACTCATGATTTTGCATATAAAAAAACATTCAACTTTCTGACCCCACTACTCTCTTCGAGAATATATATGTAAACACCATAATATACATAAGCGTATAAAAGTATTAAATAATTATTAGATTTTTTTTTTTTAATTTTTATAATTTTATTTAGCAAAAATGCTAATAAAAAAACTAAAAATAATAAGAATGATAGTGACAATAATAATAAAATAAAAATAAATAATAATAATAATAATAATAATAATAATGAAAAAATAACAATAATAATAATAATAATAATAATAAAATAATAATAGTAATAATAATATTTATAATATATAATTATATATAAATATATGTGTATAATGCGAGAGAAACGTGTTGCGACCTGCGTTGGAATACACATTTATTTCATGTACCAGATGTTCCCCCCTCGCCCCCTCACCCCTTTTCTTCATCTTCTTATTCCTCTTTGCCTTGTGCTCCCCTTTCCGCTTCAAGTTCCTCTCCATCCCCCACGATTTCTTTTCGCTTTTTCATTCTTTTATATCGCGAACCAGAAATGATATGTAGGTCGTCGAATATCGAAGCGGAAAGTGATTTTCATTTGTGGAAATTCAACAATATTTATAAAACATAATTTTTAATTAAATATTGCATATAATAATTATTTTTATTATATTATTATTATTATTATTATTATTATTATTATTATTATTATTATTATTTTTATTATTATTATTATTATTGTTAATACTAAAATTATCGTCATTATTATTAATTTTTTTTTATTGTTTTACTATTTCAACAATTTATTTGCTAAACGGAAGCATTATAGTTTCGTTTAGCACACACTACAATTTTTTTTTTTTGTTCCCCTTATTTACTATATTAATGTATTGCAAAATTTTATTTTTTGTCTTTTTTGTTGCGATTTTATTCCATTTTCTTGTGTGAGAATAATAACAAATAATAAGAAGAAAAAAGTCGCTTCTGACGTAGATTTAAATGTTTTAGCATAATGTTATGTGTTTATTTATATATTGATCAAAAAGGTAGAAAGAGGAGGAGAGGGGGAAAGAAAAAAATTCTTACATTACTTTATCGATAATGTTTCGATTGCGGCCAATAATATCTGCATCCGGCTCGAGATTGCCGCGTGCGTTTGTCATAATGACATGGCAAATTATTGACCGCAGGTTTGCAACTCTTTCTAGTTTAGAAATTTACTGTAGTTATGTATTATTTATACATATATACCTATATATGTACACATACATAAATATACATTGTCAAGAAAAGTGAATATCTTGCTATTGTATGTTATTATCTAAGAAATTGTTTCACATTTTCAATCTTCACACTGTTGTGGTGAAAAATTAAAAAAACAATTTTTTATTTATTTTTTTAGTAGTTTTTGTATTCATTTTAAATATATGTTATTATAATTTATAATATGATTTATTATAGTGTAATTTATTATATTGTTTATTATATTTTATTGCATTGTAATTCATTATACAATGTTACATTGCAATTTATTATATATTATACCAAATTATATTGTAATAGAATATTATATTTTATATTTAGACAGTGCAGCATGATTTCTTATTAAATTCTGAACAAAAAAGTCTTTTACCATTTTTCAATTGGTTGCGTATTTTCCGAGTTATGACAATTTAAAGTTAACGCCGATTTACTAATAGCCGAAAAGAGTAGAGGAACATTATATACCCTTCTCACTTGATAATTCTAAACAAAAACGTCTCTTACCATTTTTCAATTGGTTCCGTATTTTCCGAGTTATGACGATTTAAAGTTAACGCCGATTAGTAGCCGAAAAGAGAGGGGGGACCTTCCCCACTCATTAGCAGTTCGGCCTTGACTTCAAATTGCAATAACTTCCAAAGTACTCAACATATTAAAAAACAGTAAAAGAATATTTTGTTCAGAATTTCCTAAGCAATCGAGCCCGACTTTAGAGAAAAAAAAGGGGGGGAGCACTTTAAAGTTAAATAATTTTTCATTTCCTATTTTATTTTCCACTATAATACAAGTACTTAAATTATTTTCTATTTTCGGAAATATTTTGAAAGAAAATGAGTAGAAAATGTTCTTTGTTGATTTCCACAAAAAATGAAAATGCGCCTTCTGGGTTTATTAAATTTTTCTCTACTAGAGTAAATTATATATTTTGCACACTTAGAGTAAGTAGGCAACTCTATTTTTCTCCCACTTATTAACGGTTCGGCCTTGACTTTAAATTGTAATAACTTCGAAAATAATCAACTGAATAAAAAATGGCAAAAGACTTTTTTGTTTAGAATTTTTCTAAGGAATCGAACTTTATCCTGAATTTTCCATTTCGGCTATCAGTCAATCGGCCTTAACTTAAAATCGCAGTAACTCGAAAAGTAATCATCCGATTAAAAAACCGTACAGGACTTTTTTGTTCAGAATTTCCTAAGGAATCGAACTTTACCCTGAATTTTACATTTCGGCTATTAGATAATCGGCCTTAACTTAAAATCGTAATAACTCGAAAAGTAATCATTCGATTTAAAAACCGTAAAGAACATTTTTGTTCGGAATTTCTTAAGGAATCAAACTTTACCCTACATTTTTCATTTCGGCTATTAGACAATCGGCCTTAACTTAAAATAGCAATAACTCGGAAAGTAATCATCCGATTTAAAAACCGTAATGGACTTTTTTGTTCAGAATTTCACAAGGAATCAATATTTTCGAGTTTTGAATATGCATCGTAACTAGAATATGCATAATTAGCATAACCATGTTTGATTTCGACTGAATATTTTAAACTACTTTGATAAAAAGTAACCGGGGAAACTAAATTGAAAAGGGGATAAATGGTAAATTTAGAAGTCGATCGAAGACGAATTGATGCAAAAAGAGTATTTTATACCATGTATTTGAAATTGATCAGGAGGTGAATGTGGCCCTTTTTTTTCTTCCAAGCAATTTTCGGATAGCGTATAAAATGAGGCATGAGTAATATTGTTAATGATACCTGGAGAGCGGAAGAGAAGACGATCCCACCTGCCTTAACAGAATGTCTTTCTCTCTCTCTTTCTCTCACTCGTTTTCCAACACGAGCGCATGGGCCACCCCGGGGATCATGATGAAACCATCGGATCGGATGGAATCGTCCCTTTCGATGATCATCGGGGTGGCGAAATTAAAGAGGCTCTTTTTGGCCTCATCGTGTGGCAAAGATCGAGGAGAATGTGTAATGGTTAGACACACAGTCAACTGAAGAGAGAGAGAGAGAGAGAGAGAGGGATGAGAAGTGGGAGGGGGAAGGAAAAGAGAGGGAGAGATGGTATTCAGGGGGTAGATCGTTGAGGCGCCTCGCAAGATAGAACACACTGTAAACGCTCGTGCGGTCGGATATTTGGTTACAGGGAGGCGGCGGCACGTGCGTCGGAGTTCTGGGCCAGGTGCAGCAGACGGACGACCGGCGGCGACAGAAGCTGCAGCGGTAGCATCACGAGAAGCCGAGGAAGCTGGAGAGCTCAACTTGGAAACGAATAACAACGGCATTTCGGACCTCATTCCACGCTGCACTGAATTTGACGAGGTAAATTTATTTATTTATTTTAGAAATTAAAAATTGGAATTTTTCTGTTCTTGCTAACTTTGACTCTAGTGCGGTGAAGAAAGGTTCTTTAAGTTTTGCAATATTTTCCGTTATCTTTCGCTCAATTTTTTTTAAATTCTTCGTTGAAAAAAGATAGACAATTCTTTTTTTGTGATTTGTGAATTTTTTCTGTATCTACGTGTGTTAAAGGTCTTTTTGCAAGTATAGTGATATATTAACGTGAAATAGTGTTTTGTAATAATAGTGTCTGCGCATGTAGAGTTCCATGACAATTACGCATGCGCAGTAGCTTTCTGTGGCATCTACACATGCGCAGTGGAGTTTTATAGCCACTAGACATGCGCAGTTGAGTTCTATGACAAGTACACATGCGCAGTAGCTTTCTATGGCACCTACGCATGCGCAGTAGAGTTTTATGGCAACTATACATGCGCAGTAGTGTTCCTTAGCTACTACACATGCGCAGTAGATTTCTATGTGAACTATTCATGCGCAGTAAGATCCTTTGGATACCATAAATGCGCAGTAGATTTTTTATAGCAACTACACATGCGCAGTAGCATTCTACGCTATTTTTACATGCGCAGTGCGTTTCTACGTCAACTAGCCTTGCGCAGTAGCAATAATTCCCTACTAAATACACAATAACCCTCGTAAAAAGAATCAAATCCATTTTTAACTTTTGTTTCTTAAATCCCATAGGTGGATATTAATATTAGAAGCGTGGAGTTGGGGCGCTGGGAGCAGAGGAGACTTGAGGAGAGTCGAAAAAGGATTACGGCCGACGATGACATTGACACGTGTCATCGTGAGCATGGAGAATCCTACCTCTACCATCACCATCCTGCCCAGGAACGATACCTCCACCATCATCATCATCATTACCATCAGCACCATCATCTTCCTCACACGTCACATGAAAGGCAATTGGACGATACAAGAAGAAGTAGAAGGTCGAGAACATTATCATCATCAGCAACAACAACAGAATCAACGACGACGACAACAACAACAACGACGAGAACGACAAGGAGTAGTTGTAGGATTAATAGTGAGTCAGTATCATCATCATCGTCATGGCAGCAAAGTGACAGTGAATCACGACTGCCAACCCTCAATAACGAGGAAATTATTTCACCGAGTCCAAATGTCACCACCGTCCCTTCCGTTACTGCCATGACGAAAGGATACAGGTTTCCACCGTACCTCGCCACACTGCTCATCCTTTCTTACACGTTCTTCGGTATGGCAGGTCAGTATACATACAACAATATGAATATATTATATTTATTTTTTCACTTCTCGGAAAAATGTTTCTTACTTAGATTTTGAAAGGTTTTTTTTTTAATTTTCCGAAAATTTGGTTTAACTTCGTGACTAATCGGATGTCAATTATTACAGAAAGGAATATTTAACTCGTTGAGAATTGGAATCGATAAATTTTCTTTCACCTTTAATTTATAAAATTACTTGAAATTTTAAACAATTTATTAAATTGTTTAAAATTTATCAATTTCAATTCTTTGATTGAGAAAAATATTGGTGCGGAAAAACCAAATAAATACACATGTCTATTAAGTATTTATAGACTCTCATGTTACGATGGTAAAATTGAATTTTTAAATTGAAAGGAAGATAAATGCGCGTGCTAGAGGCAGGGGTGACTTTTTGATATATATATATATATATATATATATGCATAATATTTTACCACAAGTATATCATATTAATACAATATAGAAAGTGGACTATTTAGTGTTATTTAGTGTTGATTTAGGATTTTTTCCTTTTTTTCGAAACTTTATATACGGAAAAGGGATTTAACTTAAATGCGTCTAATGGAGTGTGTGTTTTCTCAACTTTTATTGATATAGGATTTCTAGTATACGCATATAATACACATTTCATATATATTAGACATTCAATTTATATCTCTGTCAGTATTTTCTTTCATCTCCATAACAATTTTCGTTTTTAAAATTTTTAATTTTGAGATTATTACAATTTTTGGTTTTTAAAATTTTAATTTTGAAATTATTACAATATTGGTTGTTTTAAATTTTAATTTTGTGATTATTAAAAATTTTTGTTTTTTAAAATTTTAATTTTGAAATTATTACAATGTTGGTTGTTTTAAATTTTAATTTTGTGATTATTAAAAATTTTAATTTTGAAATTATTACAATGTTTTTTAAAAATTTTAATTTTGTGATTATTTTATTTTCAATGGTAAAATTTTATCTATTTACCGCCGCGTCAACCCGAGGAATTTTGTGAGATTTTCAATGAATAAAATATCTTGAAAATTATATATATTTTAATCTGCTATTCCTTTTTGAAAATTAATAATATATTATTTAAGAAAATAAAAGTAATGAAGGGGGTAGAATTTTCTCATTTGGACAAATTAATTTTCAACTTATATATAGAGATACCCCTCTAATAAATTTTTTTTTTTTTTCGAAAATCTGCCCTCTATAATACCATTTTTTACCCCTTGTTATATAGGGGTAAAAGTCCTTCAATCGCATATATGATGAATATAATAAATTTAGGATTTCGACATTGCTTTCAATAGTTCGGTCACAAGTACAATGGGGCCCCTAGTTATAATTCTAAACTCGATGGGAGTGCTTTATTCTTTTGGGCCTTGTTTGTGTTTGACTCTTTTTCTCTCTCTCTCTCTCTCTCTATACATATACATATTTGCCAGTTTTTTTTTTTATAAAATGAACCAGTGTGGGCGCGCGTTTGTGATATATAGAGACAGAGTTAGTCCGCTGAGTAAAGTAGTGGTTAGCGGTGGGGGAAAGAAGAACTGGCACCGAGAGAGGGGAGGGGGGGGGTGAGGAATATGGGGACTTATTGGGCCGGTTGCGTGGCGCGTGTGCGTGCCTGTATTTGCAGAGTTAGAGTGGGTATAGATGTTGCAAAGGGGTAAGAGAGGAGTGAGGGGGGGGGGGTGAATTATCAAGTAGTGTGGGTCCAATCATGGAGGCGCAGCGGTTTTCTTAATATTATATAGATATACACAATCATGCACTTACCTTTACATATTTCTCTTATATTTGTTTTTTTTATTATTATTTATTTATTTTTATTATATTAAATATTATATTTATTATATTATATAGAGGTTAGGCCTAGTGTATATATCATATAGGGGTTACTTATTATATATAAGCCTAACCAGGGTTAGCCTTGAATTAATTTATAAATGGTTAGACCTATAGTATAGTAGTTAAGGTGATATAATTTATAAATTAATTAAAGCCTAAGCCTGGTTAGGCTTATAGGTTATATATTATATAATTAAGGCCTAACCCTGATTAGGCTTATATATAGTATATATTCTTGGAAGCCATAAATTATAAAAATAAAAGATGTTTAAATTCATTTGTTTGGCCAGTAGGCCAAACAAATAAATTTAAACATCTTTTATTTATATATTATATTTATATTATATTTTATATTATGTTATATTATATTATACAGTATATTATACAGATAAGTGTGGATATATATAAGCTCTGCGTTGCTATATATATATATATATATATATATATATATATATATATATATATATATATATATATATATATATATACGCGCATACATACAAAACACAAGTGAGGCCCTTGTGCAGCGAAAGAACTGCTGCAACGCATCTGCCCGTGACGGGGCCCCCGCTATCTGTCACCTGTTGAAATTTTAACAATCTGCCGTCCCGTTATTATTATTATTATTATTTATAGTTTGGCATACCGAAAAGAAAAAAAAATAAAGGAAAGGACCATCGCGCTTACTGATGATAAAAAAGAGTATAGAGGGAGTGGGAAGGGGGGCGAAGAAATTATTCTCCTCACGTTCACGTATTTTTACGTTTTAAATTCAACTTCCTTCCGTAATTCCGAGTAAATAACTCTCACGACGAGAGTTAAGTCGTTGTATACATACACTGTTGTCGTCGTCATTGTCGTTATATTCGTTGCCAAGTGCCACTCAATAAATCTTGGGGTGACAGCGGTGGGATTGGATTTAACGTTTGGAATTTTAAAATCGTTCTCTATTTTCTATTGTTTTCGTTTCTTTTTTTGTTTTTTTTTATTTTTATTAATATTATTTATTATTTTATTGGGCATTTTTTTCAACTTTTATTATTTAATATTATTTTGTTTACTACGCAGTTTATTTTATTAGTTTACTATTAAGATTGTTATTTTGATTGTTTAACTTATTATTTTTGTGATACTTTTTGTCTAATTTAAAAAAAAAAAATTTTAATATTTTTTTTCTAATTTAAAAAAAAAATTTAATATTTTTTTTTCCAATTTTCAAAAAAAAAAAATTTGTTAATATTATTTTTGTAATACATATTCTTAGAAGTTTAGAAAGCTCGCGAAGTAGGATATATTAGTTGACGAGAAGTATTAGCGCTGAAATTCTCTCTTCACATCAGTGCATTACACAATTAGCGACAATGTCTTTCTCTCTCTCTCTCTCTCTCTCTCTCTCTCTTTCTTTCTTTCTGAACGACAAATTAAAGCGGTCATTATATTTCGCAAGAATTTTACAATTATTTTATTTACCAAAAATTTAACCGATAAAATAATTGGCATTTTTTTCAATATTATATTTGCAAAGAAGAAAAAAAGTCGAATTTAAAAATTTTAAATTCAAATTTTTTTTTTATTAATATATTAATGAATTGATTAATAAATTTTTTTCTTAATATACAAAAAAAAAATTGAAAAAATGTTTATTATTTAAAATTTTTAGTGCCTATATTTTACCTTTGGCTGTATTTTTTGGTTTAAATTAAAAAAAAAAATTATTATTTTTCTATTTTTAATCCTTTTATTTTCTATATATTTATTTTCTCTCTCTCCCGCCTTTTTTCTGCTCGAAAACATCGAAGTGGCAATTTTGACATCAATAAGCGTGCGTATAACGTATTTTTTTTTAAAGAGATTTATCTCCTTTGCGATACAATTTTTCTTTTTTATTTTTATATTTCGAAAAAGCTAAATCTGAATAATCCGATCAGTAGAAGTCTCTCTTTCTCTCTCTCGGTTGATGTGTTTTTTTTGTTGACAATACGACGTTATGAATATATTTTGTCAAAGAGAGAAAAATCTATTGTCATTGAATAAAAAGGGTTCAAATTTAACCGGGACTGACAAAACATTTTCGTGTCCCCCTTCACTATTAACTGACCCCTCCCCCCTCCCTCACTCTTACATCCCTCTTACTTCTTCCCCTAAATCTGAGGAAAAATGGAAATCTATTTATATATAAACCAAATTTTTCATAAAAGTCTCAAATTTCTTAAATACACCCGTCTCTCGAAAATTCTTATTGTTTAGTTCCGGCAAATATTTTTTGTAATCCGACTTATAGTTTTTGGAGACAATTTTTTTTCTCCTTTTTTTGATGTTTTTCTTTCACCGACTGCGGGTTGAGGAATTTTTCTTTATGACAGTCTTGATGTTTATTATAAAAGTAGCGAAAGAATTATTATTATTTTTAAATATTTTATTTCTTTCTCGCTGACAAATTGATTTTGGAATTTTTTTTTTTAATATTTAGAGAATATTAAATTTTAGAAAGTTGCCTAGTTGCAAATGTCAGATGATTTTTTTTATTTTAAAATATTGTATTTTCTTATATTATTAATTGAATTTTCTTTTTAAATAGTGTAGGAAAATTCCTTTCTGAATTCTAAACAAAAACGTCTTTTACTATTTTTTGATTGGTTGCGTATTTTCCGAGTTATAGGGATTTAAAGTTAACGCCGATTTACTAATAGCCGAAAAGGGACTCACTCATTAACCTAAGGCCTTGACTTTAAATCGCAATAACTCCGAAAATAATCAACCGATTAAAAAACGGCAAAAGACATTTTTCGTTCTGAATTTCCTAAGAAATCGAACTTTACCCTGAAATTTCCATTTCGGCTATTAGATAATAATCGGCGTTAACTTAAAATGGCAATAACTCGGAAAGTAATCGTCCGATTTAAAAACCGTAAAGGACTTTTTTGTTCCGAATTTGCTAAGGAATCGAACTTTACCCTTAATTTTCCATTTCGGCTATTGGACAATCGGCCTTAACTTAAAATCGCAATAACTCTGAAAGTAATCATCCGATTTGAAAACCGTAAAGGACTTTTTTGTTCAGAATTTCACAAGGAATTAATATTTCCATATGCATTTAATAAATTGTAAGTGTGAAAATGAAAAAATTGAATATTTTCCAGACGCGTGCTCGTCGCGGTCAACGCCGAAACCGCGGCCGCCGACGGTGACGCAACGGCCGAACATCACATTCCAAATGTACACATGCCCACCGGATTATGCACAGTGGTACTGTTTAAATGGGGCCACATGCTTCACCGTGAAAATCGTCGACTCTCTTCTCTACAATTGCCTGTAAGTACAAACTTTATTTTTCTCACTCTTTTTTGTAGCAATAAAATATTTTTCTCTTCTCTGTTTCATAATTTGAAAAAAATGTTTTTAAATTATTGTACAATAAAAAAAAACATATTTTAATTATTTAACAATGTAAAAAGTATTTTTTTTTAATAATTAAATATTTTTTAATTATGAAATAATTAAAAAAAAACTCTTTTTAATTATTTTATAATAAAAAGACCGAAATATACTATATAATAAAAAGACCGAAATTGACGGACCACTTTTTTTTTAATTAAAAAAAAATGCGGTCGCTGAAAATATTTTTTATATCAAACACCTGTTGTTTTGTAGTAAGAAATTTGAAATTACACTGGTGAGTTTGAATTCACGAGGTGTAATCGCAGTTTTGTGGTATTGGTTGCTTTTGGGTATTTTTCTTTTTCTTCCTTTCAAATTTTCTGTATATAGTATTTTGCGCTCGCCCTCGCGTGGCACGTGACACACGCAATTTGAAACCGAAAAATTCTGGTCATCTTGTTAAAAAGAATAAAGAAACGAGTTCTCTTTCACCTTATGGCCGCTCAACTAAATATATATGTTGTTTATTCACAAAAAAAAGAATTTTTTTTCGGTGAATGAACTTTTGAGTCAATAATTCGTCCTGATTTTAAAAAAAAATTGAAAAAAACTAAATATAGGTGGACTTATACTTCTCAATATCGAAAACACTAAGCAATTATCAAAAAAAAGTTTAGGAAAATTGAAATTGAATAAAATAATCATTTAATTTATAATATATAATTATAATGAATAATTATTAATTTATAATTATGTATTATATTTTATATATTCAGAAGATAGATCTCGAGACTCTTTATCGAATTCTGAAGAAAAATTTCTTTTGGAATTTTTAAATCGGTTGCGAATTTTACGAGTTATTGTGATTTAAAGACAGCGCCGAATTCGGCGCTGACTTTAAATTGCAATAACTCGAGAAATACTGAACCGATTAAAAAGTAGTAGAAGAATTTTTTGTTGAGAATTTAATTTTGAATATGAAGAAGAATAAATGCAATGAAATTCGATGAATGCAAAGAAATAATAATAAATAACATTACGAAATAACAAAACAATTCATAATATTGTAAAATAAAAAAATTATAAATAATAATAATAGTAAATAACATTGATTAACATTAAAAAAATGAAATAAGAACAAAATTTGTAAATAAAGGATGAAAAATGAAAGATGAAGTAAATAAGAAAAAAAAATTAAAAATGAAGAAATAAAATAGTATAAATTTCCACGGTCAGGACGAAGAGACCGCGATTTCGCACTGCTACGATTTCATGGTCTCTCTTTCCTTCTCTATCTATCTCTCTGTTAGTTCTTAAAGTCTCTCCCTCCAAGGAATTTTACCGCTTATCGATCCACCGCCCACCGCGATGTTCCCTCGACGATTCATGATCATCAATGTTAATTAAATTCCATGGACATGGACTCTTATACGAACACTGATCCAACAATCAATAATAGTTGCCCTTTCACACAACATTGACAATTTTTTTTTCTCCCTCCTCTCTATTTTTTCCAATTCAGTCATTTTAATTTTATTTTAAAAGAAAAATTTTTTTATATAGAATATTTTGAAAAGGGAACTTTATGGATCATTTTATTTATTTCTTGACCTATAGGTCAAATATGATCTATATTTTACGTAACGTTACTATTTTTTTAATCGATTGTGTACTTTCCGAGTTATTGAGATTTAAAGTCAGCGCCGAATTTCTTTTAGCCGAAAAGAGAGGGAGAACTCTCCTCTTCATTAACGGATCGGCCTTGACTTTAAATTGCAATAACTCGCAAAATACGCAACCGATTAAAAAGCGGTAAAAGAATTTTTTGTTCAGAACTCGATAATGAGTCGAGATTTATACATTGATTACGTAATATTCCATTTACAAACATTTTTTAAAATTCAATTTTCAATATCTACTATATTTTAATAAAAAAAATTCTCAAAATATATTATGAATTATTTAATAAATACTATTTTTTTAATATTCTTTGCAAACATTCAATTATTCTCATAAATAATAAAAATTTTACACGAATTCAATTATTTAAAAACATAATTTTCATAAAATTTTTTCAATAAAAAATCAATTATTTAAAAAGATTTTTACAAAATTCTTCTCTGGAATTCAATTATTTTTAAAAATTCTTCATAACAATTCAATTGCTTAAAAAAATTTTTGATAAAGCTCTTTTTAAATATTCAATCAAAAAATTATTTCATTTTGTATTTAAATAATTGAATTCTAGTAGAATTTTCTAATAAAAATTTATTTAAAAATGAATTTCAGGTCGCAGAATTTCAATTATTTTTAATACAATATTAATGGAATTCCTACAAAAATGCAATTATTCTTTAAAAATTTAATTTCAATTCCTCGAAAAAAATCAATTATTTAAAAAAAATTTTTTTTCAAATTCTTTGGAAGAATTCAATTATTTACAAAAATATTAGAATTTTTCATAGGGATTCAATTATTTTCAAATATTTTAATAAAATTGTTCGAAAGAAATCAATTATTTTAAATACTAATTAAACTGAATTTTTTTGAAATAATTCAATTATTGTTATAGATTTTAATAAAAATTCTTCCCAAGAATTCAATTATTTATACATAAATAATAATTCTTCGAAAGAATTCAATTATTAAAAATAAATAACAAAATTATTCCCGAAAATTTAATTATTTTGAGGGATTTTAATAAAATTCTTTGCAAAATTCAATTATTTTCATAAATAACAATATTCATCAGAAGAATTCAATTATTTTTAAAAGTAAAAAATTTCTTCTTGAAAATTCAATTATTTTCAAAAATTCAATTTCAAATATTTTAATAAAATTGCTCAAAAGAAATCAATTGTTTGAATTACAATTTTAATTAAATTTTTTTAAAATAATTCAATTATTCTTTTAGATTTTAATAAAAATCTTTTCCAAGAATTCAATTATTTACATAAATAATAATTCTTCGAAAGAATTCAATTATTAAAGATAAATAGCAAAATTATTCCCAAAAATTTAATTATTTTGAGGCATTTTAATTGTTTGCATAATTCAATTAGTTTCATAAATATTAATATTCTTCATAAGAATTCCATTATATTTTTAAAAGTAAAAAATTTCTTCTTGGAAATTCAATTATTCTTTGAGATTTTAATAAATTTTTTCCCAAGATTTCAATTATAAATAACAAAATTATTTCAGGAAATTCAATTATTTTGAGGCATTTTAATAAAATTCTTTGCAAAATTCAATTATTTTCATAAATAACAAAATATTTATCACAAGAAGTCAATTATTTTTAAAAGTAATAAATTTTTTTTTGCAAATTCAATTATTTTAAGAAATTTATATAAAATCATTCGCAAAAATTCAATTATTTTCATAAATAATAAAATTATTCTCAGGAATTCAATTATTTTTGAAAATATTAATAAAATGCCACGCAGACATTCAATTATTCTCGCAAAAATTTTAATTACAACTTTTTGTAAAATTTAATTATTTTTAAAAAGTTTTCGCAATTTAATGATTTTCAATATTTTACTATTTTCATAAAATATTCAAACAGAATTCAATTATTTAAAAATTTTTTGTAAAAATCTTCGTAAGAATTCAATTTTCTTGATGGATAAGAAAAATTTCTCAGGAATTCAAGATTATTTAAATTATATTTTGCATAAAATCAATTATTTAAAATTCTTTGTAAGAATTCAATTTTAAGAAATAGAGTCAATTATTCAATAAATTATTTATTTTTGAATTAAAATAATTGAATTTTCGTAGAATTTTTTTTTTATAAAAATTGATTTAAAGAAGAATTATAAAAGATATACCATATTAGTGCCTTGTCCCCTAATTTTCACTATATATTCCCATTGTCAAAAACCAAATTCGCTCTCTATAGTATTAAAACGAACTCGTTTGCCAATCGGCGATTTGTATATAAAAAAAAAAAATTGAAGACGAAAAAAATATATAATAAAAATGAAATTAAAAAAAAAATTGTATAAGCATTGATGGGGGGAACATTGACGGTAAAATATATTTTCGGGGACTTGACATTGAAAGAGTGAGAGAGAGTGGAGTGGGGTGGGGTGGGGTGGGGGGTAAAAGTAAAGGAAGACAAAGGAAGGTATAAGTTAAGGTCCCTGAATGGGGGGCAAAGAAAGATATTGAGAGGTGGGTACACTTTAGTTTTGCTCGCTCAGGCTTCCTATTTCCCACGGTGTTTGCTTTGTCGACTTATTGCGATCTGTCGGCTAAAGACTGGGACGCAGGTTTTTCGTCTCGCTTCAAGTGAGGTCACTGCGCCTCAATCGGCCACTCTCAATATAATAATATCCCGCAAACACTTATGGTCTTGTTTCCACGATTAACCAGAAAGAGACAGACGACACGCTCCTTTTGCACCGCTACTTTACTATTCATCTTTTCTATCTCTTTTTTCAAATCTCTTTTTATAAATATACTAATTCTCAATCTCAATTTTTATTTTCTTCTCCTTCTATACTATCCCCCCCCACTCTTCTATATTCTGTCTCTCTTATCTCTCTTTTTTCTCTCTTAAGCTCTCTTTTTTCCTTCTCTTATCTCTCTCGCTCTCGTTTTCTCTCTTTATTTTTTTTCTCTTTTTATTCTCTCTTTGCTCTCTCCTTTTCTCTCTTTATTCTTTTTCTCTTTTTATTCTCTCTTTGCTCTCTTATTCTTACTCTTCGTTTCTCTATCTCTCTCTCTTTCTGCTCAGTCCATCAACCACCCACCAAGAAAAAAAGAGAGAATGATATTTCTCAATATACTGAATCGTTGAAAAATTAACAACTCACAAATCGTTTTCTTTTTCAATTCAATCGAAATTAAAATCAATTTTACGATCCATTTCACCGATTGAGAATTAATTTTCGAATTGCCCTTCTTCGTGCACGGAGAGAAAA